AATCCGATCCAAAACTAAAAAAACCGAAACTGGTTCAAACCGAACGGCCAATTTCATAATTTTTTTTTAAACTAAAACTAGTGTTGTGAGTTTTAGATACCTACAAAACAAAGGTTAATCTAAACACAAATTATACTCACAAGTGCACAAGGTCAATCGTAATTTAGCAAGGCAAGCACGAGGTCATTCCCACAAGGACTGATTTCTTAACTTCGAAGTAATTAAACCTAATTTAACTTAATAAACACTTAGACAAATTAAAATGGAATTTAAACACATAACTTACACACATAAAGACAAATGGAATTTTTGAATAATTGATTTGAAGGCAAATAAGAAAACAACTAATTAAACACACAAACAAAGGACAATAGAACTAGTTTTCAACAAGATCTGATGGCACTAGGACAATGAATCCACTCCTAATACTCTTCTCTAATCTCTTATTCCCTTCCTCTTCGTTATTCAAATTATATTGTTGATTAATTCCCTTTAGTGTGAATTATCTAGGGTATTTAGGCTAACTCACATACCCTAACATGCAATTCGACTATGGTATTTAGTCAAATCTAATCATGCAAGAATTCATTAAGTCTAATGGAATCTAGTATAAGCCATGCAACTCCCTAGGAATATGATATTTACCCTAACTGAATCACAATTTTTAATCACGAGAAGCTGGTCTCAAATTTGTATGGTATTTATGCAAGTTTGCATCAATTATTACATTTTGTGAATGGACTTTGTTTCCAAATGAGCATGATCTTTTAAATGACAACTTGCATGCATAACTATGATTTGATTGAATTTGGGTTATTTGATTTGGTTGAATTATGAGATTTGGTAAACTCATTATCATGATTTTATTATGATTTTCATAAAGAAATATGAGCTTTATTGTATATATAAAGTATATGGATATGGATTTTGGATATTGGATTATATGGTTTTGCACCACTATTTGTACCTCCCTTGGTTCGATATGGATACTGTGATACTTGGGACACATGGAAGGCTCCTTAGGGGTGTGTCCACAAAAAACACGGAAGGTAGGGAGGTGTGTCGGAACCGGTCACCCAGCTAGTGGACTATTAATTTTAAGTAGCCAAGCTTTGTTCTAGTTTTTCACAATTGAAAATGAATGCTGAACGTCGAATGCATAAGCTGAACAGAAACGCAATTTGCTAGTATAAGCATTGCTTACATCAACCAGGCATGATGAGGCTGACCATTGTTCATGCAACCCCTTCCCAGATAGCGACTTGTATCCATACATATATATATACTCGCGGTGGCTTATAATTTGACGGAAAAATGGGAGATAATTTATTTGGTTATTATATTTGGTTGAAATGGAATGGTCACCAAGAGTCTTTCCAATTACTTCATTCCAGATTGGTTTCGACTTCTTTATCTCACATGTTTGAAAATTTACAATATGATATTTGATGTTTTCTTAGTAACATTCCAAGAGCTGAGGAGAATGACATGCAGTAAAATTTCAAAAAAATTAAGGATTTCAAAGAGTTTCCATGACCTTCAACTTCAAGGAGATTGTTTTAGGTCAAGCATTGAGTTTCTGTTTTTTGTGTGAATGCCGGAGAGGAGGGGATATTCCTCTCATTCATTTCCTTTGAAGCTTTGTCTTTACATTTGTTGAAGTAGGTATGGAATTAAAATCTCTAATTGGAATGATCATTTGGTCTAGGGGTGGGCATCGAGACCGGAAAACCAGAACACCAAATCGAACTGGATGGAAAAAACTAGAACAAAACCGGTTGACTAAAAAAGTCAACAAACTAGCATCGAACCGGTTCTGGTTCTGATTTCACACCTTACAAAACCATACCAAACTAGATGAGACAGGTTGCGTATATATATATATATTTTTTTTTACAAAATTATTTAAATCCAATGCTACATTTTCAATCTCATAACTAATATTTCCCCAAACCCAACTTCAAAATATCTTTCTTTTTTTGGCCCAATATCTCTCTTTACATGAAATTGGATCAGTTGTAAATTTTCAAGCCCAAAAAAAAAAAAAAGAATTTAGTTGGAATTTGTATTTTAAAAAAAATTTAATTTGAAAAAATAATAATAATCCGATCCAAAACTAAAAAAACCGAAACTGGTTCAAACCGAACGGCCAATTTCATAATTTTTTTTTAAACTAAAACTAGTGTTGTGAGTTTTAGATACCTACAAAACAAAGGTTAATCTAAACACAAATTATACTCACAAGTGCACAAGGTCAATCGTAATTTAGCAAGGCAAGCACGAGGTCATTCCCACAAGGACTGATTTCTTAACTTCGAAGTAATTAAACCTAATTTAACTTAATAAACACTTAGACAAATTAAAATGGAATTTAAACACATAACTTACACACATAAAGACAAATGGAATTTTTGAATAATTGATTTGAAGGCAAATAAGAAAACAACTAATTAAACACACAAACAAAGGACAATAGAACTAGTTTTCAACAAGATCTGATGGCACTAGGACAATGAATCCACTCCTAATACTCTTCTCTAATCTCTTATTCCCTTCCTCTTCGTTATTCAAATTATATTGTTGATTAATTCCCTTTAGTGTGAATTATCTAGGGTATTTAGGCTAACTCACATACCCTAACATGCAATTCGACTATGGTATTTAGTCAAATCTAATCATGCAAGAATTCATTAAGTCTAATGGAATCTAGTATAAGCCATGCAACTCCCTAGGAATATGATATTTACCCTAACTGAATCACAATTTTTAATCACGAGAAGCTGGTCTCAAATTTGTATGGTATTTATGCAAGTTTGCATCAAATAACTCAATCAAAACCCTAGATGGTAGCTAAGCATCCAAGCAATCAATCAAAGATAAAACAGTGATTAAAAATCCAATTCAATAGAGCCACGAAAAGATAAATTAGAATAAGAAAACTAGATAATCATATTAGGGTATAAAGTGCAATATCTTCAGAAAGTGCAACATCACAAGAAAAGACATGGAAAAAGAATATAACCCTAAAAAACTGAAGATATTGCACTTTATTTCTTCTCCTCAAAGCGTAACCCCTTTCTATGAAATTTTCCACTTCCTTATATCACGTCTTAGGGTCCTAAAAGTTCTCTAAAAATAACCTAGGATGTCCCAACCCCTAAAGAATAGGTAAAGACATAAAACTAGGAAAGTCTTGACTAAGAATCTTTCTTTTACTAGGAAAGCATATCAGTTTCTTTGTAAGCATGTATGGGGTTGTTCCTCCTTCAGGATAATTCAGGACAAATATGTAAATTGTAGATCTTTGTCTTATCTTTCCAGCCATATATCGTATGCCTTGAGGAAAAATCAAGAAAGTCTTCAAATAATAATTCTTCCACAGCATCACAGTTTTGATGGGATTGCACCTTATGCTTATTTAACTTTAAAGACTGCTCTCATTGGATATTCCAAAAATTCTAGAAAAATTCCACAATCATCTTCAAGATCTTAGCTTTCATCTCCAACTGGTCTTGTACCAAAACTCCAGCAAAAAGTCGTATTTCAGTTGAAAATCAATTAACTTCTCCGAAAAGCTGAAAATTGAGAAAACAAAGTAATAAGTCCTTTTTAAATTCAATTCTCCTACAAAAATTAAGTATAGGTACATAAATGTGTAAATTTATGGACTTATCAACAAGACCAAATCAGATCGGTTAAATAGTTATGGTTTCAATTTCAATTCGAGGAACCTAACCTGACCTCACCCACCCCTAATTTGGTCTAAAAAATTATTGCTTATGAAACTTTTACTTACTATAACAAAGAAAAGAGTTGAATTTGAAAATCTCTTTTTAAAAATTGGGAAAAAAAAATCACTAGACTAAATACTTGATATAGGACGTTTGTCCTTTATTAATGGACGAATTTTTTATCAATAAGGGAGATTCACTATTATACACAATATAGGAGCTCAAATTATAAATAAATAAATAAATAAACCTTACATTAAATAGACTTTAGAAACACACCCAAAACTCATTTACAACATAATAAAAAGACTTTTAACTTCTTTTAAATAACAAAACTGCCATTGATTTCTTAAAACAAACTCAACCCAAAAACCTCATAAAAAAAGCCCAAAACACTCAATAGGGCATCAAAGTAATTTAATAATCAAAATTAAATTCAATAGGGTCAGTTGTAATTTTTTGGATTTTTTTTGGGTTTGTTTATAAAAATTAAATAGTATAAGATTTATTTATAGTTTTATTGCTAAGAATGAGTATATGACTAAATATCTTCGCATATCTGCCGTCCTCTAACTTGCGGTTCAATGATCAGAATCTCCTTTTGTTAGTGACACTTTCGGTTACATATTGTGTTTATTTTCACACTTTCCATGGCCAAACGATTACCGATTGGCTAATAGTTTGCAAAGATTATCCTTAAAATATCACTTTGAAATTAAATAATTTCAGTCATTGGGTCGTAAGGCTAGATGACCGGTGAGGATGTTTATATGATCAAAGGATCAGTCATACAAACAAACAAAAAGACTTGCTTCCCTTCCTATGTATAGCCAATTGTATCATATGTGCGTATTATAATTCCTTTTGCTCTACGTGGATATGACTAATCGTGTGATGAGAAAGAAACGTGTACGTAAATATGTAAACGACTGGGCAATGCAATTCTCTACCAACCACAATATTAGGTGAGAAAAAGATATTTTGCCTACTTTAATGCCTACTCAGGAAATTGCTCATGTGCGAAGGCAAATCAGGGTTCAAGGGACCTAACCTTGCAAGTTCTTATATTAACTCAAAGGAACCAACCCATAATCAAAGTACCCCACTGTAAGTACATTGTAAGATAAGACTAAAGATGGCAAGGAAGCCAACTCTGCAAATTACGACAGCGATAGGCACTGCAAACAGCAACGAAAATGAAAAAGTAGCTCTGTTTATACAAACAGGAGCATAAAAAAAAAACCTTCAAATTTATACAGGCAGGAGAAAAGCAAGAAAACTTAAAACTTGAATATGTTTTTAACATTCAACAATGCATATTGTTCACATATATTATTTTAATTATATGAAGTTCTAGTAAACCCCGACTTCATAAAAGGGTAGAATATATCACTCACCACCATACTAAGATCAATAAAAACATTTTTTCTGTTCAAATCTCAAATTGGGACACCATGACCATTCACCACACTAGTAGTAGTAGTACTCACGACATGACTCACTCTTAAATCTTCACAGTGAAATATTTTATACCTACCACATCCCATTTCAGATACATAGTATGATTTCCTTCCACATTCCCAATAATCTGTGCAACTCAGAGCCCTCCGAAGCTTGTCGTGCAAGAAACCTCAACTAGAATTACATACTAAACCACCTCCCAGCTGATGATTACCAGTATCCACAGCAAAATATGCTTCAACAGTTCAGAAGAAGAGTGAGTACACCAATTTTATTCCACCAATTGCTGGAGGCATAAAAGCCTCAAAACCAACAGATGATCTTATTAACACGTTCTCTATCCACCCCCCATGTAACCAGACAAGGCACTTACTTCTTATGAACTTCGCAGCACAAAACATGTATCCATATTTCTCATCCTCCGAGCTGGAGAGCTTTCGCAAAATCTGTATTCAAGGTAAAAATAAAATAACCATTAAACCACCCATAACAAACAAATAAAAAACCCACCACTACCTCCAGAATATCCTGGAGAACTGAATGATTGGCTTGTTGATTTAAGACATGCAGATTCATTACTTATGGTTCTGGAAAAGTAATTAAAGAGGTTTATGCTTCTAAAGGCTATACACAACCATATCAAGGTTGGAATATATGATAAAAGTTCCTGGTCGAGTGCTTAGAAAGTCTAGTGCAAATCCCAATGTTGATCTTTTGCTTAGAAAGAAGAGGTTATCAACAACTATTCCTTAAGGTCACAAATTTCACAGATTTAGGCTATACATGATTTCGGGAATGGAGAAGATTGTGACTATAATACTTCAAAAATAATTTTTTTTAAATTCATAGAAAGGATCTCCTAGCATATTATAAGCTAATTCCAAGAGACACTGAAGATCTAGTCATGGATTTCTTAATTAATGTTACTGTATATACTAGAAAGCAACCCACCTATTAATTATCGAACTCATTTTCACCAACAGAATATGCAACCATAAACCAGCATGCAAAACAGAACAGACGAACATAACTTCACACAAATACGCACCTGTGTAGTTGTAACTGCCAGCAAGAAGCCAAGGCCACCAATGCTCCAACAGAAAATTAACATTGACAAAGCTTCAAATTTGGAGTTTGAATTCGGTAGCAAAAGGCAATGCGGACATTCACCAGGATCATCCTCAAGAACCTTAACAACAATAGGGGAAAAATCTACATAAAGAACAGAAGGGCAGCAATTGTAACAGATGCAGAGAAAAAACAAATTCTCACCATCATAACCATACTGACTTCACACAAAATAACGGCCTGTCCAGGCAGACTGTCCTTGATATTGCTCAGGCTGAGGAGTCAAGTGCTGATTTCCATTTACAAGTTGTTGCTGCAGCTGCATTTCATGGTGTAGTTTGAGCTCATCGAGCATCTGAAAATCTTGCCAGCTTTTCTGTTTTTCGCCTTGGAGTTGCATAGGTGGACCCTGTTTACCAGGAAAGGGAAAGTTCACTGGCCCATTCAAGCCATTGCCGTTAATGAAGCGATTGGGATTTGAATGAGATGAGATATTAATGGAGCTATTGAACCCATTTCCTTTAGTTGAAGATGGCATCTGATATCCATCCAACCAGCTGTAATCGTCCATCAGTAGATTCTCACTCATTGAGTCGGAGCCATAAATCGATTCATTCACATTTTTAGGAGGAACAGGGCTAAAACCAGGTGGTGGACCAAGATGCCTAACAGGTCGACTTACTGGATTCTTTCGGATACCTGTGGGCAGGTTAGATGATGTCTTTACAGTCAAACCATCAGCAATTGCTCCAGAAGATGATATAGCATCAACCTTAAACGGCAACATAGCTTCTGGAGCTTTTGTGTGGCTGTAGACCATACCACTAGTACTACCATTCACTGGCTGCTGGAATGGAACTGAAACTGCCACAGGCTCAGATGCAAGTACATACCCATTCCCCATAAATCCCATACTCTTTAAGCTGTGAGCAAGAGACATTTCTTCCTCTGTTGACAACTTCAAAGCATGTGATTGAGGTGGTTGCAAATTCTGGGGGATACTATTAGAAACTGATACAGGTAGTTGTGAACTAGCACCAAAACCAGCTTCCATTGACAGCTTGGAAGCATGTGACTGAATTGATTGCAAATGTTGGGGTATACCATTACCAACAGATACAGGTATTTGTGAACCAGCACTAAAAGCGGTTTGATGGCGAAGATTATCAAAAGGGGCAGTGACATAAGTGCCATTAACTTTAAGATCACCTGGAGAAGCATTTTTACCAGGCACCAGGCCCTCATATTCTGCCCAAGTAGTGTTTATCACATCAGGCCGCTTCTCAGCCACTATTGGCTTAAAAACTATTACTTCATCTTCCTCATCCCCTTCCGTGGTTAACTCAGGCTTTGGATATGCAACTCCCAACTTCATTGTATTCTCTGCTTGATTTTCTTGCAGATTATCATTTTCAGTAGCCATGCCCATATAGGAGGTAGGAACAAAATCATTTTGCACTGGAGGCTCAAAACCAATGACAAATTTCTTTGCCTTTGAATCAAAATATACTGCCTTCTGGTCAACCTTAATCACATTTGCAAGAGCCTTGCCTGCCGCCACAATCCGTTTAACACGGGCCCCTTTTTCCTTGTGGCCGTCACTTCCAAAAGAATGCTTCCTTGAGAAATCCAATATAGTTTGCGCTGGAAGAAGTGGAATGAATCCTCTCAACTCAAAATCCTCCCACAAAGCAAGACGGTTCTCAGTTTCCCCTTCTTCATATCTGCTCATATTATTAAAGCAAGTCTCATCTTCATCATCATCTATGGACACCGGCCCTGTTGACGAGATACAATTCAGGAAGGAGATGCAAACCATCCAGAACTTTGATCTAACTTTAGTCTGTTTTTCATCTGCATCACTTCCAGCTGCAACATCCGGGCAACATGCTAACCATTCTACAAACACCAGAATGCCCGGTAACAGGAAACTTGAAGAAGGATCACACAACTGGACGCATCTCTCTAAGATGTGCCCCATCAACTCAAAGACAGCAGTAAATGCATTCTGCAGTACGACAGCACGTTGTACAATTTCAGCATATGTCTGACCTTCACTTTCCTTCTTCACATTGTGAACTGTGAATATCAATATGGAGACAAGTCTAACAATGAAAAGTCCATTCTCAACAGAATCTGCACCGAAATTCTGCAACTCCTTTGCTCCAGAAGACAGGAGCTCACATAAACCACTGCTTACCACAGAGAGAACTTCTACAAATGTCTCCAGGCTACACAAAACAGTCATAATTAGGAGGTAATCTTCCAAACATAAAACAAAAGAGAAAAGGAGAGACAGAGGGAGGTCCAAGTAATAAGAAACACTTCCATATCGATATACTTCAGAAAAAAATTACCTAGTACGTGTGAAAAGAATTCCATTTAGACGGACAAACAGTATGCAAAAAGCCTTATAAGTTTCCTGAGTACTGGATGCTTTTTCCTTAACAAGGCTCACTTCTGTATTGTTATCTTTAGATGCAGGTATTGCTTCCGCTTTCCCTCTACCTTTGCCTGTCAATCGTGCAGGCAACTCTTTGACTGCAGAAGCATTAGTATTCCCCGGCAGCTGAGAGTAACTCTGACGATTCTACTCCAGAAAAAAAAGATATATACATAAACAACAACACATACAGTATTTCAGGCAATAAAATAGGGAACCCAGGTGAGGAAATTAAAAGATGTTACACTGGATAAAGGCTTTAATGCTTAAACATCAGCAAATTAATTGGTAAACAGTCCCATGTTCTTTTACGTGATATTAATTTCAAGACAGTTACACTTGAAAGAAGCATATATCTGATTACTTCTTAAGTTTTAAGCTTCAAGCCAAAAGGTGGTACCGCTCACATTTTCCTAATCCCTCCCAACACCTTATCAGGGTTTGACTACCTCAAAACCACCTCCTTCTTAAAGAAGGGGAGGTAGCACTACCCTACCATTCGAACATAGAAGTGGTTGATATGACAACTCAAGTCACCCTGATGAAATAAGACAAACTACCCTAACATTTGTAACATCAAAGGACCAAAGGTCACTTCAAGTCCAGAGGTGCATAATCAATTAGAGTAATGCTACACTTACCACATTTTTATCCCACATTTCTATACCACATGATGTGGCATGTCTATATTATATGCTACATCAATTAAATCAATGAATTGTATTTTAATTAAGACAATTTGAAAAACAAATACTGGAATAAATCATAAAAGAAAAGAAAATATTAAATAATTTTAATTGACGTGGCTGTCCATCCCAGCTGCCACATAAGATGGTGTAGGGATGTGGTATACAAATGTGATAAGAGTAGCATTATTCAATCAATTATACTCAAACACCAGTGCTTGCTAAGTTGGCAAGGGTCAATACCGCAAGAAGCATGGGTCCTAAGTATGACCAAAAGTTTCGCAAAGCTATACAATTCTTAGTGAACAAAAGTTAGAACTAATGCTTGACAAGCCAAGAGAAAAACCATTAGACCTCTAATTATGGCCTAATATTTTGAGAGAAGAATTATTATTGGACAGGGTACATGATTGGCAATTCCTCAAAAGTGTCAATATAAGAGCACAGGAAACAATTACAACATTTCCATAGGTCACGCTAAAAACACAATACCTTCTCAAATGCAACAATCAAGTTATCCCTTGCAGTTGAAAAGGGACTATCCACCGCCAGGCTACGAAAATATCGATAAACAGCCACCAACTCATCCCCCGAATAGGATGCCAAAATAGCAAGCTGAAAAAGGAGGATGATTTGTCAGAGTGAACGGTCAAAATCATCATCAATAGACATCCAGAGAAAAATAGATGAAGAAAAATATCAAAACAAATACCTGATGATGGGGATTCCCACTTGATGGCCAGAGAGATGCAGCTTGCAAGTAGTAACTTGAGGCTGCAGCATACTCACGAGTTTTGGAGTCCCCCTCCCCATATAATCCTTTGTAGCGTGCAAGATCACCCAAGTAGATCAAACATCGGTGGCATGATATCAGGCCTTTCTTCATTTCAGTAGATTTCTTTCCATCCTTGTCCATAACAATTTTATTTTCCGAATCCTCAGAGAAATACCCGAGAGGGAGCCCATACTTTGCTCTGATCTTCACTATCAAATCATGATAAAATCCAGTTGCCTCTGAAAGGAATGTTTTAAACTGCAATCTTATTTTTGTAATCCGATCAGGCCGAGCAGGGCCCTTCACAGCCTGAGATGAGTTTGAACTTGCAGAAGCCGTAGCAGCACTAAAGTGTGCTCTCAATTCCTCAATACGCTTGTAATGCAGCTGCCACAAAGCATACTCAATATTGTGCTGCTCAGAAAAAGCATGATCCTCGAGAATTATTGCTTCATAATTCTCACGTATCTGTTGCCAGGCATTGGGATCTGAGGGAATTCGAGCTTGAGCAGACCTCCGACGCCTATTCTCCAATTCAACAACCTGCAAAGTAAAAATATGAACGTAAAATGACAGGAAACTATGGAGCATGATTGCATATAAAATACAGACATCACACATGCACAAGCATGCATATACACAGATTCCTTCAGTATATCTAACAGAACCTCCATTCAACATTTGCATCAAGCACATGGTAGTTACGGGTTTAAGCATATAGGCAGTTTAAAAAATAGTAATCAAGAAAAAGCATAATTTTTTTTATGAGGGAAAAGAATATACCTTGTCATAGAGGCGTTGGGCACGCTCCCTTGATGAAGGAGCTGACATTTTATCCATATGTGTAATCATCGTCCATCAAGTATGTTTGATTAACCAAAAACAGCATTAAATCTGCAGAAAATTAAAACCCCATCATCGGATGAAAAAATAATAAACCGGATATTGTTTCTCAATTTAAAAAAATAAAAGGCGGTCAAGGAAAGGATGAAGAACATAAAATAAAACCACATCATTTGAGCAACATATTTAGTTGACGGATTTCATGCTAAACATCCACCCAGATCAATCATTGTGAAAACCATCCATTATTACCCGCACATACATATATGTATATATCTAAATTTTATTTGACAACTTCTCAATTGTAGATGTCTCAATATGTTATTGACTCTAAGAAAATCACAACATGCCATAATGGAATAGTCATGCCTTAAAATCCCAAAAGAGAAGATGAACTAAGTAGAAAACTTTGATGTATACACAAATGAATAAAGCCATAAAACAAAAAAATCAATCAATCAAGGAGACAATAGTGGAAAGAGTCCTCAGATGGTCATTGTACAACTTGCAAGGAAACACCATCTAGAACAAAACAAAATTTAAAAGCATAGTGATCACGTACAAAAAGAATAAATCTCTACTGCAAAACCAAATATCTTACAAACCCAACAATACCATTAACAGTTTCTAAAATTCCTCCGTAACAATTCTAATCCATTCATCCAAAATGATGACTATTAAAGAGCTCAACCACATTGTCACCATGTTCCTTCTAACCATGGGAAAAGATTTCTCTGTCATAACACTGTTGCTTCTTGTCATAGCATTACCACAGGTCACAAAACCGTTCCGCATATGTATTACTCGTACAAATGGATGAAATGATTAAGCATTCCAACTCTATTCTTAAAATTGAAGCTTAGGAATTAGGATATGAAACAATAATTGCATACAACCACCTAATATTCATCAACAATTCAGAAATAAAAACCCAAATTCCATAATGCTTTAAGCATGCAGGATATTACATACACAAAGAAAAAAACCCATGTTTGATTTCTGAAAGATTTTGGGAGAAAAAAAAAAACAAAACAAAACAAGAAAAAGCCTAGAAAACAACGGCTGCCAAAACCAATAGCTGCGTATCACACCATTCCAATTTCTATTTCTATTTCCTCTTCCTTTCCTGAATTTAGAACAAAAAAAGAATGGAGAAAGAAAAAGTCACAGATATAATAAAAGAAGCGAACAATCAATTTACAAAAAAAAAAAAACAATGAAAGAAGTACGAATAACTGAAAGAAGTACGAATAACAACAGATCCGCTAAATCAAAATAGCATACCTAACTTGGATCAAACAGCTCTACAATTTCCCCACAATAAACAAGAAAAAATTATTAAACAGAATAAAATCAAGGAAAGATAAAAGAAGGGGGAAAAAACGCACCTATGTAAGCCGGATCAACGCAGAGATTTGTCGGATTAGAACATCGGATTGCGAATTTGAAATTTCAGAAAGAGAAAAGAAAGTCTTCGTGTTTAGGGTTTGGTTAGAGAGAGAAGAGGAAAGAGAAAAAGAGAGAGAGAGAGAGAGAGAGAGAGAGAACGGTGTGGTTTGGTTTCTTTTGGTTTTGTGGTTTTTGGGTCCAAACGGGATGAGATTAGGAAGACAATTTCTTTTTTCTTTTTCCGTTTGCTTTTTCTATTTTTCTGTTCATTTTTTGCATTTTCTATTTATTTAGAGCTATTACCAGCTTTAGTTTCAGGCGGCTACCAAAGAGACGCCGTCGTTTTGGACCTGATAAATGATATATACATCCATTGGCCGTCCGTTATTTGTTTTTCTTTTTCTGGTTTGCTGACTCAAGAAATTACTTGACTACCTGTTTCTAGTTATTTTTCTTTGTTTTTATTTATTTATTTATGAGTGATATATAGGGAGAGAAATTATTTTATGGTACCATAGTACCACATGGGTGGGCATCAATTGGGAATTGATGAAACCTGCCGAACTAAACCGTAGTTACCGATTTGATTTGATTTTCACAAAGAAAACGGCTTAAAAACCAAATTGGACTGGCCTAAATCAAATCAGATTGTTTATGTGTATATTTATTACTTATATTATATTTTACATGTGTAATACTCTAATTAGGTAATAACTATATATGAATATTTAAATTGAGCTATATTAGTAATTGAAATTTGAAATTTTATGGTATGTTGAGCTTTAGAATGGTTTCGTATTCTAGAAAATAATTTCAGTATGGAGCAAGTTGTGAATTTGTTGGTTGTAATTGGGTTAACAATATTGAAAAAATGCAAATGAAAAGATAATTGGGCTTAGGACCAAACCGTCTTAAATTGATTTGGTTTGGTTTGGTTTTCTCCATGACTTTTGTCAAAATCAAACCTAACCAAACCGTTATATTGTAATTAATTTAACCGTAGTTTTGAGGTGAAACCGATCTAATCCAGATTGTGTCCACCCCTAACCACATGGTATCATTTGTCCACGTATTATATAATATAATGGATGGCATGGTTGGTTGGTATTTCCCACTTTTAGGGTACAGTAACAATAAATATCCACTTGTTATCATGGATGAGTCATATCATGTGACCATACTACTGTACCACATTCACGCTCTCATTTTGCAGGGTAAGGTTCACCTTATGTTTGATGCCAAGTCAAAAAACCCCCAAAAAATATCACTGGTAAAGTAAAATATTAAATGTAATGACCTTGAAAATAATATTTTGTTTTATTATTTTTGTGAAAAAAAATCATATTAAGTTGTGTGGTTATTATGGGTAAATTTTGTTGACTTGGTGTGAGATTATTGGATTTAAGAGTGTTTAATCTCAATTTGGACAAAAATACCCTTTTTATGAATTTTCAAAGGATGTTCAAGAAATTGAAGTGAGAAAATTATAATTTTGGACTAGAGAAACAAAGCTCAATCTCACGTACGGGTGGGCTCAAACGGTTCGTGGATCGGAGTTATAAAGAAGGATAAATTAAATTTCAAAGTTTTGAAATTTAATTGGAAGGCTAAATAGTGAATAGTGTACAATGCTATTCACAGGTTACTATTTATAGGGGACTACTGTGCAAAAAAACTAGATAATTGCACAGCAGCCCACGACCCGAATCAGAAACCCCAACTCGAATTGCAACCTGGCTAGAGGAACCAACTCGACCTGGCTTTTTCAACGACAATAGGTGGCGATCTCGGTACCGTTGGAAAGTTCTTGGCGACAACGTTCCATTTTTGGGATCAATTGACGCTTTCAACCACCGTATAAAGCCCAGCAACTTCGTGAAGCTTCAGCTTTAAATTCGTAACTTCAATCGTGGTTTTGATCTCCTTTCGCATCGATTCTGGTATTTTCTCAAGTTTTAAGGTTGTTTATCTCGTCTAGTTCTTTAAGGAATTGTAGTTTTGGACTTGCAATTCTAAGATTTTTCTATTGCCAGAATAGTAGCCCAAACCACCACGTGCATGGCGGTCGTGCTATGACTGAGTTGTGAACATAATTTGTAGTCCTCGTAGTCCTGAGCATGTTGATGTGCTCAAAATTGCGAGATTCTGTCGTTTGATCAACAATCGAAGTCTCGCAAATCTGGACCGTTAGATTGGAAATGATTGGACCGTTGGATCGTGTTTGATTTTATTTATGTTGCAATTGGTGTTGTGAGGAGTCTATAGGTATAGACAGATTGGTGATCAGACATCTCGATCTTAAGTGGCTGTGTTCCAAAGTTAAGGCGAGCGATTGTCATTCGATCGTGCGATCTAGAATGATTCAACTATTGGATCGGGCCTAAATTGATGCAGGATGACATTAGGACTATTTAGAGGAATGGGTCCTCTGTTGTTGTTGTGGTTGCATGTTATTTTCAAGCTTGTTTTGAGAAATACTCAAGTATGGAATTAACAGTTCGCTTGTCTTATGCCAGAAGGAGAATGGACCAAGGTATAGGCAAAGGCAGAGGTCAAGGTCGAGGTAGAGGCCGAGGCAGAGCTAGAGGTAAGGGCTAAGAGCCCAGAGCTGTAGAGCCTACTCATGAGATTCGTAAGGAGTTTGAGGAGGAAATTGGGGAAGAAGCTCCTGCTGGTGCGCAATGTGCAAATGCATGATTGTACAACTGATCTATTTGCAGAGTTCTTGGAGGCAAGGGGGCATGGTGTTTCTCAACCACCATCGATGCCACCCACAGATCCCTTCAGAATGTCCCTATTGATTCGTGACCTCAAGAAATTGGGAGTTAAAACTTTTGAGGGTAAAGTCGATCACATGAAGGCGGATAGGTGGATACGGAATCTTGAGAACTACTTCAAGATTTGGGTATGACCAGTGTTGAAAAGAGGAGCGCAGCTTCCTTTTACTGACATGATGAGGCACGAGTGTGGTGGAAGGCGGTGGAAAGATCACAGAATGTGGACCAAATGGACTGGGAAGTGTTTTTGGCACTCTTTTACAAGAAGTACTTTCCTGCTACTATGAAGGAGGAATTACAAGTGGAGTTCCTAACTATGAGGGAGTATGAGGCACGATTCGCTGAGTTGTCTCGTTTTGCTGACCCTCTGAGTGCGTTGCAACAAACCCAGAAGTTTCAAAGGGGTTTAAATGTTTATGTCAAAAAGATGGTGATTGGTTTCCACCATACGAAATTTGTGGATGTGGTAGAGTGTGCAACATCTATTGAATCAAACACAAAGTAGCACTACTGGGAATCAGGGAGGTGTGGGTAAGAAGCAGAGAACTAGGTACCAGACTGCGACCAAAAATGATGCACATGCTAAGCAAGCTGGGCCTATTAGGTGTTATAATGGCAATGAGGTGGGCCATCTCACTACAAAAAATAAGGTCATTACTGACCAAAGTTTTCTAAGGGTCCCAAACATCCGTTGCAAAAAGTGTTTTTTCTGTCCAAAATATGTTGTCCGTTGGAAATATGTCACGGGCCTAAAATTTATTTCTAACAAACAAAATGCTCTCGGAAAAGGTTTGTATGGTCGTCGGAAATGTCATTTATTCGGTAGGAAGCTTTGGCGCCAACTTTATTAATGACTAAAAGTACGTTTGTGGAAAATAAGATGATTATTTATGAGAGGCTTCTCATTTTGTCGAAATTATTTGACTATTTATGAGGGGATTTTCCTTCTATCAGAATTATTTGACTATTAACGAGGGGCTTCTCCTTTCATCCAAATTGTTTGACTATTTTCGAGGTTATATGTCCTCTCAAAAAAAGTTTGAAGGTCAATTTCCCATTAGAATAAGTAAAAACAATCTTATTGGTAATAACCAATCACACTCCAAAATAGATAACTAAAAAATAGCCAATCCAAAAAAAAAATAAACAATCACAATTACATGACAACTCATCCCACAGTTGTAAGTTGAATCACATCCCTTCTTCAATCAATTTCATTGTCTTCAACATCATTTTGGAGATATATTTCACAAAAGGAAAAATAATTGAATTCCTTAACATGGTGATATGGGAAACAAGACTATTGACGCCATGAATTTGGATTTAGTTGGCCTAATTCGAATTTGGATTATAAACGAATTGGATTTGGATTACATTGGCCTAAAATGCAATACCATATCGAATTTAATTCGAATTATCATATTGAACACGTCACTGGTTTCTTTAGATTTTCAAATACTCTTGCTCACAAGTTCTTCCAATTGATAACAAATAACATAAAAAGTTTGATTTCCCTCATCATCATATCGGAAGAATTATGTTAAATTAGTGTAAACGAATTGGATTTTAATTACATTGGCCTAAAATGCAATACCATATCAAATTTGGATTTGAATTATCATATTTAACACGTCAATGGTTTCTTTAAATTTTCAAATACTCTTGCTCACAAGGATCTTCCGATTGATAAAGATATCAAATTATCAAATAACATAAAAAAGTTTGATTTCACTCATCATCATATCAGAAGAATTAAGTGAATTACTAATGTAAACGAATTAGATTTGGATTACATTGGCCTAAAATGCAACACCATATTGAATTTGGATTGTATTCAAATTTTCAAATGCTCTTTGACACTTAATAAAAGTAGAACTCATAGACATTGAAGCTACCCTACACAAAACGAAGTATCGAAAGTTTTTCGTTTGTAAAAAAAAAAAACAGAAGCCCTTTCTTATTTTTTTTTTAAAATTAATTAATTTATATAACAAAATATATTAAACAAATCAGCAATTAAACTCCCGCTTGTCCAAAAAAATGGGGGAAAGCCTAAAGTAATTATTTCTTTTGCAACTCAAGCCTCTTTTTTAATTTGGGTTTTTTGCTAACCCTAACAGTCCATATATGTATCAGTTTTCAATAGCAGCCACAAAAGAGAAAAAAATCCTCCATACGTTTTCTCTATAGAAATATCAAAGAAGCCATACAGGTAACCTACTACAAAGAAGCCAATAGCCTACTTTGGATTGTCTGTATGTTTTGGATTGTGTTTGGTATATATTTAAAAAATTTGTTGCCAACAATATCAACATGACCAAGGAAGCCACATGGCTGCTGGCCATATTCATTCCCTTCTTCTCAATTTTTCAGTTTAACTATAAACGTCTAGGCATGTATTGTTATAGATATAGCAATATTGGAATGCATTAATATGATACGGAA